TGTTTTTTGCTTCAGCAGGTGAGTCAGAAATGTTTAGATTGTTATTCAAAGGAAAGAAGCTCCTGCACAATGCGTTTATGAGTGAAACTGCAGCTGAGTGTCCTCTCACCTTGCCCTCGGACACCCAGACCAACTGGTTCTGCTGCTGCTGGACGGTCTCCTTCAGAGCTCCGTACCAGCCGTCGTTCATGTTGTTCATGTTGATGGTGGCTAACAGAGGACAGAACCGTGTTACTGGTTAGCATGATGCTACTAGTTAGCGTGTGAACAATTGAACATGCCATCAATGGATCCCAGAGGAATTACACCAGATATCTTGGCCTTTATTACACGTAACAAAAATGTAAACAAAACATGCAACAATTTCAAAGACTTTAATGGGTTACAGTTCATATAAGGAAATCAGTCAATTGAAATAAATAAATTAGGTCCTAATATCTATGGATTTCACATGACTGGGAATACAGATATGCATCTGTTGGTCACAGATACCTTCAACAAAAAGGTAGGGGTGTGGATCAGAAAACCAGTCAGTATCTGGTGTGACCACCATTTGCCTCATGCAGCGCGACACATCATCTTCTCATAGAGTTGATCAGGATGTTGATTGTGGCCTGTGGAATGTTGTCCCACTCCTCTTCAATGGCTGTGCAAAGTTGCTGGATATTGGTGGGAACTGGAACACGCTGTCATACACGTCGATCCAGAGCAACCCAAACAGGCTCAATGGGTCACATGTCCGGTGAGTATGCAGGCCATGGAAGAACTGGGACATTTTCAGCTTCCAGGAATTATGTACAGATCCTTGCAACATTGGGCCGTGCATTATCATGCATTATCTCTGTGCTTTCAAATTGCCATAGATAAAATGCAATTTTATTCGTTGTCTGTAGCTTCTGCCTGCCCATACTATAACCCCACTACTACCATGGGGCACCATCTGCCTTGTACAGTTGAAACATGGATTTTTCCGTGAAGAACACACTTCTCCAGTGTGCCAGTGGCCATCGAAGGTGAGCATTTGCCCACTGATGTTGGTTACGACACCAAACTGCAGTCAGGTCAAGACCCTGGTGAGGACGACGAGCACAAAGATGAGCTTCCCTGAGACGGTTTCTGACAGTTTGTGCAGAAATTCTTCGGTTGTGCAAACCCACTGTTTCATCAGCTGTCCAGGTAGGCTGGTCTCAGACGTTCCTGCAGGTGAAGAAGCTGGATGTGGAGGTCCTGGGTTGGTGTGGTTACACGTGGTCTGTGGTTGTGAAGCCGGTTGGACTTACTGACAAATTCTCTAAAACGACGTTGGATGCAGCATATGGTACATTCAATTCTCTGGCAACAGCTCTAGTGGACATTCCTGCAGTCAGCATGCCAATTGCACGCTCCCTCAAAACTTGAGATATCGGTGGCATTGGGTGGTGTGACAAAACTGCACATTTTAGAGTGACCTTTTATTGTCCCCAGCACAAGGTGCATATGTGTAATAATCATGCTGTTTAATCAGCTTCTTGATATGCCACACCTGTCAGGTGGACGGGTTATCATGGCAAATTTGTTTACAGGGATGTAAACAAATTTGTGCACACAATTTGAGAGAAATAAGTTTTTTTGTGCGCATGGAACATTTCTGGGTTCTTTTATTTCAGCTCATGAAACATGGGACCAACACTTCACATGTTGCGTTTATATTTTTTGTTCAGTGTAGATACCCGTGTGAATAATTCACATTTTCATGACCAACCAATCAAATGGTTACAGAATCATGCTTACGAGCAGTTTGTGTGTGAAAACAGACAGGTATTTAACAGGGCCCAATATATATCTTGTGGAGTTCCTCTGTGATCTATTCCTGAACCCCTGTTCTTTTAGTAGCAGATTTGAACAACGTCTCATAACACTGTCATAATGTAGACATAATTTCCCAGCCATTGTCATGAAAAAGTTGCGCAGGTTCGCACCAGAAAAGTGTAATCCTCTGACTTCAAATGCAGCAAGTTAACAAACATTTCTAAGTGAGCCCCAAACTTTTGAACGGTAGTGTATATATTGTGGATACAACCACCCCCAGCTCTGCAGATTGTGTTTGCGAAGAGACAGAATCATTAGATCATTTGTTTTGGTACTGTCCATATGTAGCTTGTATTTGGTCACACGTTCAGGAATGGCTGAAGAATTGCAACATTTACCTGGAGCTAACCCTGCAAATAGAAATGCTGGGTGATCTGAAAAGCCATAGTCAATCGATCAATAATATAATAATACTCTTAGCAAAAATGTTTATCTTTAATTTACAATCTGTAGAATCTATGAGAATAGAAAGGTTCAGAACTTTTGTGAAACATCACAGTACGGTTGAAATATATATGGCAAATAGAAATCCAATATGGATGGTGTTAAGAGATACTGTAGATGGGAGGGGTTGAATGGAGCTGAAGGGTGGGACTAATAACAACAAGATAGCTCATTTAAAATATACTGTGTCCGTAAAATGTATATAGGTTCAGAACTTTTGTGAAACAGCACAGTTAAAAATATATGGCAAATATAAATCAAACTGGATGGTCTTCAGAGATAGATGGGAGGGGTTGAGGTTAGCAGAAGGATAGGAGTCAAAACAAACTAAATATAACTATTGTAAAATAGATTGTGTCCATAAAATGTATATAGTATGTATAAGCTGGAAGTAGAAGCCTAAGTGTTGTTGTCCATTAGTTTACTCCAATTAGGGTAAGGGGTGGTAGAGTTAGGGGAAAATAATAAAGGAAAATATATTTTTAAAAGCTGTGTGTATATACAGTGGGGAGAACAAGTATTTGATACACTGCTGATTTTGCAGGTTTTCCTACTTACATAGCATGTAGAGGTCTGTAAATGTTATCATAGCTACACTTCAACTGTGAGAGAAGGAATCTAAAACAAAAATCCAGAAAATCACATTGTATGATTTTTAAGTAATTAATTTGCATTTTATTGCATGACATAAGTATTTGATCACCTACCAACCAGTAAGATTTCCGGCTCTCACAGACCTGTTAGTTTTTCTTTAAGAAGCCCTCCTGTTCTCCACTCATTACCTGTATTAACTGCACCTGTTTGAACTCGTTACCTGTATAAAAGACACCTGTCCACACACTCAATCAAACAGACTCCAACCTCTCCACAATGGCCAAGACCAGAGAGCTGTGTAAGGACATCAGGGATAAAATTGTAGACCTGCACAAGGCTGGGATGGGCTACAGGACAATAGGCAAGCAGCTTGGTGAGAAGGCAACAACTGTTGGCGCAATTATTAGAAAATGGAAGAAGTTCAAGATGACGGTCAATCACCCTCGGTCTGGGGCTCCATGCAAGATCTCACCTCGTGGGGCATCAATGATCATGAGAAAGGTGAGGAATCAGCCCAGAACTACACGGCAGGACCTGGTCAATGACCTGAAGAGAGCTGGGACCACAGTCTCAAAGAAAACCATTAGTAACACACTATGCCGTCATGGATTAAAATCCTGCAGCGCACGCAAGGTCCCCCTGCTCAAGCCAGCGCATGTCCAGGCCCGTCTGAAGTTTGCCAATGACCATCTGGATGATCCAGAGGAGGAATGGGAGAAGGTCATGTGGTCTGATGAGACAAAAATAGAGCTTTTTGGTCTAAACTCCACTCGCCGTGTTTGGAGGAAAAAGAAGGATGAGTACAACCCCCAAAACACCATCCCAACCGTGAAGCATGGAGGTGGAAACATCATTCTTTGGGGATGCTTTTCTGCAAAGGGGACAGGGCGACTGCACCGTATTGAGGGGAGGATGGATGGGGCCATGTATCGCGAGATCTTGGCCAACAACCTCCTTCCCTCAGTAAGAGCATTGAAGATGGGTCGTGGCTGGGTCTTCCAGCATGACAACGACCCGAAACACACAGCCAGGGCAACTAAGGGGTGGCTCCGTAAGAAGCATCTCAAGGTCCTGGAGTGGCCTAGCCAGTCTCCAGACCTGAACCCAATAGAAAATCTTTGGAGGGAGCTGAAAGTCTGTATTGCCCAGCGACAGCCCCGAAACCTGAAGGATCAGGAGAAGGTCTGTATGGAGGAGTGGGCCAAAATCCCTGCTGCAGTGTGTGCAAACCTGGTCAAGACCTAGAGGAATCATATGATCTCTGTAATTGCAAACAAAAGGTTTATGTACCAAATATTAAGTTCTGCTTTTCTGATGTATCAAATACTTATGTCATGCAATAAAATGCAAATTAATTACTTAAAAATCATACAATGTGATTTTCTGGATTTTTGTTTTAGATTCCGTCTCTCACAGTTGAAGTGTACCTATGATATAAATTAAAGACCTCTATATGCTTTGTAAGTAGGAAAACTTGCAAAATCAGCAGTGTATCAAATACTTGTTCTCCCCACTGTATATATATATATATATATATATATATATATATATATATGTACAGTATGTATGTATGTATATTTATATTTACTAAAATATATATGGGGGATTGGAAATGATGCAGACAATTACATTGATAGATCTACCCCCTAACTTAAAAAATAAAGAACATTTAAAAATAAACACGTAATCAGTTGGTTATCATCTACAACATGGCAGATGTCATTGGAGGATTGATTACCTAGAAGCTGGCAAGCCAGCGAGGCAATGTAAAACATCCCAAATAGAGCTAGACAAAGCCAGAGGAATAATCTGTGTGTTGATATAGCCAATCAGTCTGGTGCTTCCATGCCATCATCACCCAAGGTTTCCGACATCAGGGTTAGCTATCCTGCTGTAGATATTTTCGGTGCGAGGATGTGGGCATATCATTCGAACGTGACGATTGCTTGTAAACAAAAAAAATTCTGTAAACGTGACATATTAAATACCCCCCTCAGTGCTTCCTGGTGATGGGATGGTGGTTGTTCTTCCTTAGTTTCAGGGCTCTCGCTCTGTACTTGCCCATCTTTCCTCAACTCCTCTCTCTCTCCCCCTCTCTCCCCCTTCCCTCTTTACTCACTGGTGAAGAGGTGGTGGTTGTTCTTCCTTAGTTTCAAGGCTCTCTCGTAGAGTTTCCGGGCTGACTTCCTGGACTCGGAACAGAGCCTGGTTCTCATGTTCTTCACCCCCTGCTTGCTGTCGGGGTTCAGGAACACCACGATGGGGTACCACTGGGCGTAGTTCAAACGGTCCACCGCATTGGGGGTGATGTCCAGGACTGCATGTTTATCCTACACCGGACAAGACCCAGACAAGACACCATAACTTAGTTGACTTAGTCATTCCTTTTTAGCTCCTAGTGGAGCAGAGCCTCAACAGACTCCAGTGAATCCTATTCTGGGCAGTTCTCTTTTCATCATGAGTGGAAATAGCAATGGACAAACGCTACATTTGAAATAGTCATTCTGACCGCATCACAAAAAATATCTCAACCGAACATCAACACCCACAACAGTTATGCAATTGTGGAAAAGAAAATCCTTAATTGCTCAAATCAAAATGAGTCCTATTGAAACGAGCGACTGTGTAAATTCAAAACTCACTCTGTCGATGATCTGCTTGATGGTGTGCAGACGGATGATTCCTGAACTACGCTGGTCTGTCCCTGCATCTCTAGGTTCACTCTCTGGAACACAGGGGAAGGCACAGTTTTATGACATAGTTCTCTAATCAGTTTAATCATTCTAGAATGCTCAGAAACTAGCACATTATTCTGATACACTGTGTTACTCACTTGCACATTATTCTGATACACGGTGTTACTCACTTGCACATCATTCTGATACACGGTGTTACTCACTTGCACATTATTCTGATACACGGTGTTACTCACTTGCACATCATTCTGATACACGGTGTTACTCACTTGCACATCATTCTGATACACGGTGTTACTCACTTGCACATCATTCTGATACACTGTGTTACTCACTTGCACATTATTCTGATACACGGTGTTACTCACTTGCACATCATTCTGATACACTGTGTTACTCACTTGCACATCATTCTGATACACTGTGTTACTCACTTGCACATCATTCTGATACACTGTGTTACTCACTTGCACATAATTCTGATACACTGTGATACTCACTTGCACATCATTCTGATACACTGTGATACTCACTTGCACATCATTCTGATACACTGTGATACTCACTTGCACATTATTATGATACACTGTGTTACTCACTTGCACATCATTCTGATACACTGTGATACTCACTTGCACATTATTATGATACACTGTGTTACTCACTTGCACATCATTCTGATACACTGTGTTACTCACTAGCACATCATTATGATACACTGTGTTACTCACTTGCACATTATTCTGATACACTGTGTTACTCACTTGCACATTATTCTGATACACTGTGTTACTCACTTGCACATTATTCTGATACACTGTGTTACTCACTTGCACATTATTCTGATACACTGTGTTACTCACTTGCACATCATTCTGATACACTGTGTTACTCACTTGCACATTATTCTGATACACTGTGTTACTCACTTGCAAGCTCAAACAGATCAGGCTCCTCCCGGGAGATTTTCTCTCGTGCCACATCTGCGATGGGTCCAAATACCACCACAGGCCTGAGGAAACCAGCTGGACAAACACACAGGCCAACAAACGGCCATCAGAGAACAGACTGGCAGGGTGGCGTAGCAGTGGCGTTGCATCCCACCCCAGCATGCAGTTCTTCCCTCTATCAATTGATAGCCAGTAATCTAGTATAGCCTTTCCAACTCTCTACATTTACTGAGAAATACAAAAAGTTGGTGGTACGTTAAGAAAAGTAGGCGCTCTGTTATGAAATACGAAAACGGTGCTCTGTTCTCCTTTATATAAAACACTCCAAACTCACCACTATAGACAGACAGAGTCAGAGGCAGAGACAGAGGCAGAGTCAGAGTCAGAGTCAGAAGCAGAGACAGAGTCAGAGACAGAGTCAGAGTCAGAGTCAGAGTCAGAGTCAGAGGCAGAGGCAGAGACAGAGGCAGAGACAGAGACAGAGACAGAGTCAGAGACAGAGACAGAGACAGAGGCAGAGTCAGTCAGAGTCAGAGACAGAGGCAGAGACAGAGACAGAGGCAGAGGCAGAGACAGAGACAGAGACAGAGTCAGAGGCAGAGTCAGAGTCAGAGACAGAGTCAGAGACAGAGACAGACAGCGGGGCTAGGGTGGAGGGGTTAGGGAGGAGTAGTTAGGGAGGAGGGGCTAGGGAAGAGGGGCTAAAGAGGAGTTAGGGAGGAGGGGCTAGGGAGGCAGGGGTTAGAGAGGAGGGGCTAGAGAGGAGGGGTTAGAGAGGAGGGGTTAGAGAGGAGGGGCTAGCGAGGAGGGGTTAGGAGGAGGGGTTAGGGAGGGGGTTAGGGAGGCGGGGTTACGGAGGAGGGTTAGGAGGAGGGTTAGGGAGGAGGGGTTAGAGAGGAGGGTTAGGGAGGGGTATGGAGGAGGGGCTCGGGAGGAGGCGTATGGGAGGAGGAGTTAGTGAGAGGGGTAGGAGGAGGGGTTAGAGAGGAGGGGGTTAGAGGAGGGGGAGGAGGGAGAGAGTATGGGGTTAGGTCGGGGGCTTTGAGAGAGGGGCTGAGGAGGGTTGGAGGGGGTTGACGGATGAGGGTTAGGAGGGGGGGGGGGTTAGGGGGGTTAGAGCGGGGGTTAGGCGAGGGGGGTTGAGGGTTCGCGCAGGGGGATGGGGGTGGGGGAGCGGGGTTAGGAGGAGGGAGGTTGGGAGGAGGAGTTAGGGGGAGGGTTAGAGGGGTTAGGGAGAGGGGTTAGGGAGGAGGAGGTAGGAGGAGGGGTAGAGGAGGGTTAGGGAGGAGGGGTAGGGAGGAGGGCTAGGGAGGAGGGTTAGGGGAGGAGGAGGGGCTAGAGGAGGGGTTAGGGAGGAGGGTAGAGAGGAGGGGTTAGGGAGAGTAGGGAGGTTAGGAGGAGGGGCTAGGAGGAGGGGTTAGAGAGGAGGGGTTAGGGAGGAGGGGCTGGAGGAGGGGCTAGGGGGAGGAGTTGAGGGAGGAGGGGGGAGGGGCTAGAGAGGAGGGGTTAGGAGGAGGGGTTAGAGAGGAGGGGTTAGGGAGAGGGAGGATTTAGGGAGGAGGAGTTAGAGAGGACGGGGTAGGGAGGAGGAGTTCGAGAGGAGGGGGTTAGGAGGAGGAGGGTTAGAGAGGAGGGGAGGAGGGTCTAGAGAGGGGGTAGGGGGAGGGAGAGGGGCTTAGGAGGAGGGGTTAGGGAGGAGGGAGGAGGGCTAGTAGAGGATGGGGTAGTGGATGAGGGGTTTAGGGAGGAGGGGCTAGAGAGGAGGGGTTAGGGAGGGGTATCAGAGTCCTCGGTCCTCACCCTCTCTCAGCACCACCCTCTCGTAAGCGGGGAACTTGGTCTGTACGGGCTGGGCCGACAGGTCCTCTCTGCTCTTCCTCAGGTTCCTCTTGAGCTCCTCAGGCCCCTGAACCTCCAGAAGTCCTGCGCCTGTCGCCCCTGCTGTCTTGGGGAGGGTGTACTGCACACTGGACAGCTGCTCCGCTCTGGAGACAGATAGAGGAGAGGGAGTTGGATAACTAACTAACTATCTAGATAACTAACCCTAACCATGCTGTATTGGGGATGAAGGTCTATTGAGCCCTGTGTAGCTCAGTTGGTAGAGCATGGCGCTTGCAACGCCAGGGTTGTGGGTTCGATTCCCACGGGGGGCCAGTATGAAAAATAAATGTATGCACTCACTAACTGTAAGTCGCTCTGGATAAGAGCGTCTGCTAAATGACTAAAATGTAAATGTAAAATGTAGCTCTCTGTAAAACCCAGATGAAGGACTATTGAGATTTAGCTCTCTGTAAAGCCCAGATGAAGGACTATTGAGATTTAGCTCTCTGTAAAGCCCAGATGAAGGACTATTGAGATTTAGCTCTCTGTAAAGCCCAGATGAAGGACTATTGAGATTTAGCTCTCTGTAAAGCCCAGATGAAGGTCTATTGCGATTGAAATGTTTGTGAAAAATATGACATTTTTGGGGCATCAAAATCACCCGTGCTGTAGTTTATTTTCTACTCAGGAGAATGAGAGAGACAAACAGAGCTCTTGGTGGACACCTCTAAAGGGCTTTCATGTGTCTGTGACTGTGTCCAGTACACTTGGCATGGCTAACGTCAATACTGCCAACACAGAGGCACTTACAATGATAATCATAACAAATGTGGTTAAAGCTATGAGAGGACAACGTGACATTAACATTGTTGTGATAAATTGTGACCAGTGTAAATCTTGTTCCCCTATTATTTTCATGTATTTATAGTATTGTCTTAACCAGGTAAGTTATATGGAACACGTTCTCTTTTCAAATAAACAAACTGACTTCTGTGAGAACTTTGATTTCTGTGAGAACTCAACATCATTATGGCTTGCAGATACAAACACCTAGAGGAGCCAAATGGGAAGGACAGAAGAAGAAGAGAAGAAGAAGAAGAAGAAGAAGAAGAAGAAGAAGAAGAAAAAAGAAGAAGAGAAGAAGAAGACGAAGAAAGAAAAGAAGAAAGAAGAAGAAGAAGAAGAAGAAGAAGAAGAAGAAGAAGAAGAAGAAGAAGAAGAAGAAGAAGAAGAGCGCGTCATCACCTGTTCTTGTTGGGTATGATGCCTCTCTCCACCTCCTGGTGGTTCTTCCCGATGCGGATGGCCAGCCAGGAGCCCAGCTTGCCGTTGTACAGGGTGTCCACCACTCTGAACACCTCTCCCTTGTTGAAGCTCAGGCCGTACGGAGACTCCTTCTCATACTCAAAGTGGGTCCGGATGTAGAACGAGTCGCCCACATCAGACTCCACGATCCGCCGGTACACTGGAGCAGAACACAGTCAGAGACAGAGTCGGAGCCAGTCAGAGTCAACGACCGAGACAGAGTCAGAGACAGTCAGAGACCGAGACAGTCAGAGTCAGAAACCGAGACCGAGTCAGAGACCGAGTCAGAGTCAGAGACTGAGTCAGAGACCGAGTCAGAGTCAGAGACTGAGTCAGAGACCGAGTCAGAGTCAGAGTCAGAGCCAGAGACAGAGTCAGAGACCGAGTCAGAGTCAGAGACTGAGTCAGAGTCAGAGACTGAGTCAGAGACCGAGTCAGAGGAAGGAGAGAAGCCCAATAGAGATGCATCTCTGATGATGGTCGTTCAACCGGCCCAGTTCACTTCCCTCCCCTTACCTCGGCCCTAATCATGTGATTGGAGGTCTGTTAAGTGGAAGTAGTATGGTGAAAGCTCCACCCCTAAACAGACTATACTGTACCTATCCAGACCCTTCAGATCTGCATATACTGAAGGGTGCTCTAATGAGTGGGGGAGGGGAGGGAGTGAAGGGTGCTCTAATGAGTGGGGGAGGGGAGGGAGTGAAGGGTGCTCTAATGAGTGGGGGAGGGGAGGGAGTGAAGGCTGCTCTAATGAGTGGGGGAGGGAGTGAAGGGTGCTCTAATGAGTGGGGGAGGGAGTGAAGGGTGCTCTAATGAGTGGGGGAGGGGAGGGAGTGAAGGCTGCTCTAATGAGTGGGGGAGGGAGTGAAGGGTGCTCTAATGAGTGGGGGAGGGAGTGAAGGCTGCTCTAATGAGTGGGGGAGGGGAGGGAGTGAAGGGTGCTCTAATGAGTGGGGGAGGGGAGGGAGTGAAGGGGACCCTAATGAGTGGGGGAGGGGAGGGAGTGAAGGGTGCTCTAATGAGTGGGGGAGGGGAGGGAGTGAAGGATGCTCTAATGAGTGGGGGAGGGGAGGGAGTGAAGGGTGCTCTAATGAGTGGGGGGAGGGGAGGGAGTGAAGGGTGCTCTAATGAGTGGGGGAGGGGAGGGAGTGAAGGGTGCTCTAATGAGTGGGGGAGGGGGAGGGAGTGAAGGGTGCTCTAATGAGTGGGGGAGGGGAGGGAGTGAAGGGTGCTCTAATGAGTGGGGGAGGGGAGGGAGTGAAGGGTGCTCTAATGAGTGGGGGAGGGGAGGGAGTGAAGGGTGCTCTAATGAGTGGGGGAGGGGAGGGAGTGAAGGGTGCTCTAATGAGTGGGGGAGGGGAGGGAGTGAAGGGGACCAGTTCAACCAGTTTCCTCTCCTCCTCCTGTACTCACCATCCTTCTTCTTCTGGGCCAGGATGGTGACCTCTTCACCTTTAGGGAGGTCAAGGAGAAACAGCACTGCCTCTTCTCTGATTATATTAGCAAAATCCACATTATTAACCTGGAAACATGGAGGGAAGGGAGATGTGTTATTCAGTTATTCCAAATTATTATTTTACTTTGTTGAACGTTTTTGTGGCCATATGTATCAAAGGGATGAAGTGAGTAGGTAGCTTCAATGCTGTGTTGTTGTGGAATCTACAGTCCACAACGGATGATACCACCACAACAACCTTCTTGTTATCCTGTTGAATATGTAGCCTTGGAAAGCATCGAGGACATCTGAATTGTTCACTCGTGACCTGGGGAAAGGTTGTGGATTCAATTCCCCCAGGGATCACATACACTTACGAAATGTATGCCGTGACAGAACTGCCATATAGTACACCGTCGCTAACACACATTTCAGCTCTGGTTAATAGTGCTGATGGTCTACACCGTCGCTAACACACATTTCAGCTCTGGTTAATAGTGCTGATGGTCTACACCGTCGCTAACACACATTTCAGCTCTGGTTAATAGTGCTGATGGTCTACCTGTCTAAATGTTTACACAATATCAGTGTTAAAGAGATTCTCCGGTACTTTTGTATACTTTTTAGTGAAAGTGGCGCTCATGAGCCAAAAGTGGTCACTGAAAATCCCTCCCTCCCTCCCTCCCTCCCTCCCTCCTTCCTGTGAGTGCATGATGAGTCTCTAGCTGTCACTCATATGGCGAGGGGCTGAAGCTCATTGGTTGACATCGAATTGCTAGGGGGCTGGCCCACATGGGGGGAAAATGGTGCAGCACAGCTTACAGAAAAACTGTTGCTTTCAAACTAAGGGATTTCGTGGCTAATTGAGGTAAGACAATAATTCTGATTATAGATTCTGCATGTATGAACCACACATTGACACATCCAGCCCAAAACGAGATGGTTTGAAAAATACTTAGTAGTTGCCAAAAGTTCCCGGAGCATGTCTTTAATAGCGCTGATGGTCTATACCTCTATATCCTTCAGCATCACCCCTCGTGACTATAACCCTGACAGAGTTTTACTGCACTGTAAACTAAGATCCACGCCATTACACATTACGCTGGCAGAGAGACGAGGAGGACGGGGTGGAGGAGGAGGAGGAGGAGTGTAAACAGAAAAAAGATATACAGCTCAGAGGGAGAGGAAGAGAAATGGGCCAAACAGAGAAAGGAAAGAAAATGTTTTTGTGTGATTCCCAGAGCACATTGCTAGGAGACAGACTCCAAAACGATCAGGAATCTCAGAGCAGCCTGTTTTAAAGCCATTAATAAAAATCACAGAAGAGAAGCTTTTGGATACGTCCCCTATGGGCTCTGGTCAAAAGTAGTGTGCTAATGTAGAGAATAGGCTGCCATTTGGGATGCTACCTTTGAGATACAAACCAAGGCCCTGTAAAAACACTGCTACCGTTACACTGTTAACCACATATTGTAAAAACAACAACCACAAAAACAGAATACATTTGTATCCCCTGTAGCATCTTATTGGTGTTTAGGCTGTCAGTTTACTGTGGTATCCCCTGTAGCGTCTTATTGGTGTTTAGGCTGTCAGTTTACTGTGGTATCCCCTGTAGCGTCTTATTGGTGTTTAGGCTGTCAGTTTACTGTGGTATCCCCTGTAGCGTCTTATTGGTGTTTAGGCTGTCAGTTTACTGTGGTATCCCCTGTAGCGTCTTATTGGTGTTTAGGCTGTCAGTTTACTGTGGTATCCCCTGTAGCGTCTTATTGGTGTTTAGGCTGTCAGTTTACTGTGTTATCCCCTGTAGCGTCTTATTGGTGTTTAGGCTGTCAGTTTACTGTGGTATCCCCTGTAGCGTCTTATTGGTGTTTAGGCTGTCAGTTTACTGTGGTATCCCCTGTAGCGTCTTATTGGTGTTTAGGCTGTCAGTTTACTGTGGTATCCCCTGTAGCGTCTTATTGGTGTTTAGGCTGTCAGTTTACAGTGTTAATACATATTTGCTAGTGTATGCATCATCACCTTTTTTTTTTGTCTTTCTTCAATTCCAGTGGCAACTAATATTGGATTTCTGTGCAGTGAAATTCAGTAGCTGCTAGCATTGATTCCATTCGTGTAGGCCTTCACTAACACGTTGGGCTACACAGCATGCCATTTAGACGAGGATCATATTACACAGCAAACTATTTCATCCTAAGCAATTTACACAGTACAGCGGAGTGCATACATTGTGCATGTGATCCCTGTGGAAATTGAACCGACAACCTTAGTGTGGCTGTAGTGAGTGTGTAGTTGCTGATGTATCTTGTCTCACCCTGAGAATTTGGTCCCCCTCCTCCAGTCCCTCCTTAGCTGCTGGGCTATCCTCCAGGACTCCTGCTACAAAGATGCCCACATCGTTCCCCCCTGCCAGCCTCAGACCCACACTCTCCCCCTTCTTAAACTTCACCAGCTTCATACTCGGCCTAGGGAGAGAATACATGGGGTGGAATGGGGAGAGAATACATGGGGTGGAATGGGGAGAGAATACATGGGGTGGAATGGGGGAGAATACATGGGTGGAATGGGATGAGAATACTTGTGGCGGGGCAGTTTCCAGGCACAGGTGTGAGACTTTGCACACGGGCCAGGGTGGGATAGCGACAGGGTGATCTGCCGTGCCAGTGGGGAAGGTCGGTGGGAGAGATCCTGGTCGGGGACAGGGTGGGAGAGAGGACAGGGGGAAGGGTGGGAGAGGACAGGGTGGAGAGAGGACAGGGTGGGAGAGAGGACAGGGTGGGAGAGAGGACAGGGTGGGAGAGAGGACAGGGGGAATGAGAGGACAGGGTGGGAGAGAGAAGACAGGGTGGGAGAGAGGAAGGGGGGAGAGAGGACAGGGGACAGGGTGGGAGAGAGGACAGGGTGGGAGAGAGGACAGGGTGGGAGAGAGGACAGGGTGGGAGAGGACAGACAGGGTGGGAGAGAGGGACAGGGTGGGAGAGAGACGGGTTTGGAGAGGACAGAGGGTGAGAGAGGACAGGGTGGGAGAGAGGACAGGGGTGGAGAGAGGACAGGTTGGAGAGAGGACAAGGGACAGGTGGAGAGAGGACGGTTGGTGAGGAGAGGGACAGGGTGTGGAGGAATCCAGGGACAGGGTGGTAGGAGAGAGGACAGGTGTGGAGGAGTAAAGGCAGGACGTGTGGGATAGAGACAGGTGGGGAGAGAAGACAGGGTGGGAGAGAGGACAGGGTGGGAGAGAGAAGGTTGGAGAGAGGACAGGTGGGAGAGAAGACAGGGTGGGAGAGAGGACAGGGTGGGAGAGAGGACAGGGTGGGAGAGAGGACAGGGTGGGAGAGAGGACAGGGTGGGATGGGGAGAGGGAAAAGACAGTTACAGACAGTTACAGACAGTTAGACAGTTAAAGACAGACAGTTACAGACAGTTAGACAGTTAAAGACAGTTAGACGGTTACAGACAGTTAGACAGTTAAATACAGACAGTTATAATATAATTAATAATAATAATAATATGCCATTTAGCAGACGCTTTTATCCAAAGCGACTTACAGTCATGCGTGCATACATTTTTTTTTTGGTGTATGGGTGGTCCCGGGGTTCGAACCCACTACCTTGGCGTTACAAGCGCCGTGCTCTACCAGCTGAGCTACAGAGGAGCTACAGAGGACCACAGTTACAGACAGTTAAAGACAGTTAAACAGTTAAAGACAGTTACAGACAGTTAAAGACAGTTAGACGGTTAAAGACAGTTAGACGGTTAAAGACAGTTAGACAGTTAAAGCAGTTAGACCGTTAAAGACAGTTACAGACAGTTAGACAGTTAAAGACAGTTACAGACAGTTAAAGACAGTTACAGACAGTTAGACAGTTAGACAGTTAGACAGTTAAAGCAGTTAGACCGTTAAAGACAGTTAAAGACAGTTAGACAGTTACAGACAGTTAGAGACAGTTACAGACAGTTAGACGGTTAAAGACAGTTACAGACAGTTACAGACAGTTACAGACAGTTAGACAGTTAAAGACAGTTAAAGACAGTTAGACAGTTACAGACAGTTAGACAGTTACAGACAGTTAAACAGTTAAAGACAGAAACAGACAGTTAGACAGTTAGACAGACAGTTAGACGTTAAAGACAGTTACAGACATTTAGACAGTTAGACAGTTACATACAGTTAAAGACATTTAGAGACAGTTAGACAGTTAAAGACATTTAGACAGTTAGACAGTTACAGACAGACACACAGTTAAAGACAGTTAGACAGTTAAAGACAGTTAAAGACAGTTAAAGACAGTTAGACAGTTGAAGACAGTTAGACAGTTACAGACAGTTAGACAGTTACAGACAGTTAGACAGTTAGACAGTTAAATAGTTAAATACAGTTACAGACAGTTAGACAGTTAGACAGACAGTTAGACGTTAAAGACAGTTACAGACAGTTAGACAGTTACAGACAGCTAAAGACATTTAGAGACAGTTAGACAGTTAAAGACATTTAGACAGTTAGACAGTTACAGACAGACACACAGTTAAAGACAGTTAGACAGTTAAAGACAGTTAGACAGTTACAGACAGTTAAAGACAGTTACAGACCGTTAGACAGTTAGACAAATAAAGACAGTTAGACAGTTTAAACGGTTAAAGACAGACAGTTAGACAATCAAAGACAGTTAGACAGATAAAGACAGTTAAAGACAGTTAAAGACAGTTAGACAGTTAAAGACTGTTAAAGACAGGTAAAGGCCCACTCTGTGATATTTACGTTGTTTGAAATAAGGAGTATCCCCCATAGAAATACACTTTCTAGAATGGCTATTCACATTGAAGTCAGAGGTCTGATGAGCTTTGTCCCTTCTATTCAAATTCTATGATGTCACCTGCCAAAGATCAGTGAAGTTTAAACGTTATATAGTCATAATATGGAGCAGGGCAGGAGGTTGAAGGAGTTACTGTTAGTGACAATACAACTTTATTGTCCATTACTTACAACAAACAATGCAAATGTGTCTTCTGCGCCATTCTCAACCCACCAGACAGAACACATCACACATACAGCTGAGACAAGCACAGGTTCAAGCTGCAGTGCAGCGCCCCAGGACAGGTGAACAGATACTTCTACATACCGTAGGATACTGTTTGAGACAGGTGAACAGATACTTCTACATACCGTAGGATGCTGTTAGAGACAGGTGAACAGATACTTCTACATACCGTAGGATACTGTTTGAGACAGGTGAACAGATACTTCTACATACCGTAGGATACTGTTAGAGACAGGTGAACAGATACTTCTACATACCGTAGGATACTGTTTGAGACAGGTGAACAGATACTTCTACATACCGTAGGATGCTGTTAGAGACAGGTGAACAGATACTTCTACATACCGTAGGATGCTGTTTGAGACAGGTGAACAGATACTTCTACATACCGTAGGATACTGTTTGAGACAGGTGAACAGATACTTCTACATACCGTAGGATACTGTTTGAGACAGGTGAACAGATCCTTCTACATACTGTAGGATGCTGTTTGAGACAGGTGAACAGATACTTCTACATACCGTAGGATACTGTTTGAGACAGGTGAACAGATACTTCTACATACCGTAGGATACTGTTTGAGACAGGTGAACAGATACTTCTACATACCGTAGGATACTGTTTGAGACAGGTGAACAGATCCTTCTACATACTGTAGGATGCTGTTTGAGACAGGTGAACAGATACTTCTACATACCGTAGGATACTGTTTGAGACAGGTGAACAGATACTTCTACATACCGTAGGATGCTGTTAGAGACAGGTGAACAGATACTTCTACATACCGTAGGATACTGTTTGAGACAGGTGAACAGATACTTCTACATACCGTAGGATACTGTTAGAGACAGTTGAATGGATACTTCTACATACCGTAGGATACTGTTTGAGACAGGTGAACAGATACTTCTACATACCGTAGGATACTGTTTGAGACAGGTGAACAGATACTTCTACATACCGTAGGATGCTGTTTGAGACAGGTGAACAGATACTTCTACATACCGTAGGATACTGTTTGAGACAGGTGAACAGATACTTCTACATACCGTAGGATACTGTTTGAGACAGGTGAACAGATCCTTCTACATACTGTAGGATGCTGTTTGAGACAGGTGAACAGATACTTCTACATACCGTAGGATACTGTTTGAGACAGGTGAACAGATACTTCTACATACCGTAGGATGCTGTTAGAGACAGGTGAACAGATACTTCTACATACCGTAGGATACTGTTTGAGACAGGTGAACAGATACTTCTACATACCGTAGGATACTGTTTGAGACAGGTGAACAGATACTTCTACATACCGTAGGATACTGTTTGAGACAGGTGAACAGATACTTCTACATACCGTAGGATGCTGTTAGAGACAGGTGAACAGATACTTCTGCATACCGTAGGATACTGTTAGAGACAGTTGAATAGATACTTCTACATACCGTAGGATACTGTTTGAGACAGGTGAACAGATCCTTCTACATACTGTAGGATGCTGTTAGAGACAGGTGAACAGATACTTCTACATACCGTAGGATGCTGTTAGAGACAGATGAACAGATACTTCTACATACCGTAGGATGCTGTTAGAGACAGGTGAACAGATACTTCTACATACCGTAGGATACTGTTTGAGACAGGTGAACAGATACTTCTACATACCGTAGGATACTGTTTGAGACAGGTGAACAGATACTTCTACATACCGTAGGATACTGTTTGAGACAGGTGAACAGATACTTCTACATACCATAGGATACTGTTTGAGACAGGTGAACAGATACTTCTACATACCGTAGGATACTGTTTGAGACAGGTGAACAGATACTTCTGCATACCGTAGGATACTGTTAGAGACAGTTGAATAGATACTTCTACATACCGTAGGATACTGTTTGAGACAGGTGAACAGATACTTGTACATACCGTAGGATACTGTTAGAGACAGGTGAACAGATACTTCTGCATACCGTAGGATACTGTTTGAGACAGGTGAATAGATACTTCTACATACCGTAGGATACTGTTTGAGACAGGTGAATAGATACTTGTACATACCGTAGGATACTGTTAGAGACAGGTGAATAGATACTTCTACATACCGTAGGATACTGTTAGAGACAGGTGAATAGATACTTCTACATACCGTAGGATACTGTTAGAGACAGGTGAATAGATACTTCTACATACCGTAGGATACTGTTAGAGACAGGTGAACAGATACTTCTGCATACCGTAGGATACTGTTAGAGACAGTTGAATAGATACTTCTACATACCGTAGGATACTGTTTGAGACAGGTGAATAGATACTTCTACATACCGTAGGATGCTGTTTGAGACAGGTGAACAGATACTTCTACATACCGTAGGATACTGTTAGAGACAGGTGAATAGATACTTCTACATACCGTAGAATGCTGTCATCATGGGCAGCGCTGGGCACAGGGGCATCAGAGGGGCTGACTGGCAGGTCCACATCAGGCTGGCCTGGCTGGGCATATACTGGCTTGGGCTCTAAGGACGGACACACACACACAGACACACACACACACACAGACACACACACACACACACACACACAGACACACACAACACACACCACAGACACACACACACACACACACACCACAGACACACACACAACACACACACAGACAACACACACACACACCACACACACACCACAGACACACACACACACAGACAAACCACACACACACAGCAAACCACACACCAACACCCACACCCACGACACACACTCACACACACATACACACACACACACAACACACACAGACACACACCCGACAACACACACACACAGACACACCACACACACACACACACACCACACACACACCACACACACACACACAGCACACACACACACACACACACCATCACACACATCCACACACACTGACACACACACACTAGACACACACACACACACACGACACACACACACACACACACACACACCCCCCACCACACGACACCACACACCACACCCACCACAACCACACCACCCATACACACACACCCACACACACAACACACCACACACACACACCCACAAACACACACACACAACACTACACACACACACCACACAACACACACTACCACACACACAACCACCAACACCACAACACACACCCAACACACCCACAATCACAACTCTCTTGGTACGCGTACCTCATCACACTCACTGACGTACCGAACTCAACACGAACCTACACACACAATACACCACCCTCAACATTACACCTCTCACCCACAGACTACACCTCTCAACCCACAGACTACACCTCTCAACCCACAGACTACACCTCTCAACCCACAGACTACACCTCTCAACCCACAACTACACCTCTCAACCCCACAGACTACACCTCTCACCCACAGACTACACCTCTCAACCCACAGACTACACCTCTCAACCCACAGACTACACCTCTCAACCCACAGACTACACCTCTCAACCCACAGACTACACCTCTCAACCCACAGACTACACCTCTCAACCCACAGACTACACCTCTCAACCCACAGACTACACCTCTCCACCCACAGACTACACCTCTCAACCCACAGACTACACCTCTCAACCCACAGACTACACCTCTCAACCCACAGACTACACCTCTCAACCCACAGACTACACCTCTCAACCCACAGACTACACCTCTCAACCCACAGACTACACCTCTCAACCCACAGACTACACCTCTCAACAACCCACAAGACTACACCTCTCAACCCCCCCAAGACTACACCTCTCAACCCACAGACTACACCTCTCAACCCACAAGACTATGAGGCAAATACACACTCTCTCACACACACACACACACGGACATGCACACGCACACAGAGACACTCGGCAGGCTGCTGGCTGCAGGGCAGGAGGGGAAACGTCAGAGTCCATCAACTCACACTACAGTCTTAACGACAGGCTGTAGACTCAACCAAGCTCAGCTCAGCACAGCAAGAGTCTAGATTTAATATTGGTAGGTGGGCTCAAACGTTTGTACAGTTTAAGTGTATTGCTCAAGGGCACAAAGGCAGTAGGCATCTAGGATAGCTAGAATCCCAAAATATTGTATCCTGTTGGACTTGGGATTCGAACCTGCGACCTTCTGGTTGAACAATCTAACATTTAGGTTACCTGCCACCCCGTAAAAAGGTTACCGGTTAAGGTTAATGGTTAGTGGTACCTGGTAGGGGAGGAACCTGTTTCTCTTCCCTGGTGACCGGCTGCTCCAGGGGCTTTGGCAGGGCAGGAACCTCCACTGCTATCTTGGCTGGTACCGCTGTCAGCTTCGGGATCCTCTCCTCCTCACGACTTCTGTGACTGGAGACAAAAAAATATATTTTAAAAATTGTTGTTTTTATTTCATACATTTTTTGATCCAAAGCGATTTACAGTGCAGGAAGTGCATACATTTTCAATATGTGCAAGTGATCCGTACGGGAATGGAACCCAGAAACTTGATCTGGCCTTGTTAGTGCCAAGCTCTTATCAACTGAGCCTCACAGGACCAGGGATGTGGTACAATACAACAAACACTGTACATAATTTATATAGCGTCATAACCTGACCATATATAAACTTCTCCAAATGGTTTAAACAGCAGTAGACAACATGTAAAAGCCATAGAGATTAGAGGGAAATCAAGGGAGTTGAGTGTGTGTGGCTGTCGTGCACTGTGGCCATGAAGGTCACCATTCTGTTCTGTTGTTCTCCTCCTTGGTACTCTAGTTTAGAAAGGCCTGTCTGAGCTGATGGGAGGAAGGGAGAGAGGAGAGAGAGAGAGAGAGATGATGAGAGAGAGAAGAGACGAGAGTAGAGATGATAGATGAGAGAGATAGATCAGCTCTACTTCTCTGCTCTCTCTCTCTCTCCTCTCTCTCTTCTCCTCTCTCGTCTCTCTCTCTCTCTCTCTCTGCTCTCTCTCGCTTCTCCTCTCTTCTCTCTGCTCTTCTCTTTCGGTCTCTCGATCCTATCGTCATTCGCTCTTCTCTCTCTCTCTTCTCTCTTCTCTCGTCTTCTCTCTCGCTTCTCTCTCTCTCTCTTCGCTCTCTCCCTCTCTTCTAGCTCTCTCTCGGAATTCTGTGTACCCCAGGTGCACTTCACTGTGTGCCTCTGGCCGAGAACCAGGAAAGATTGGACTCAGAACAAACACAGACTATTAAACACAGAGGTCACAATAATTCATCCAAAACTGCAACAAACACATAACCTGGTCCAAGAGCTGTTTGTACTGTCTTGCCAACTCTGATGGTCATCGCCATGCCAAATACAAACAAGTTATGCAATGACCATAAGAGTTGGCTATAGAACACATTTGTGACTCGTTTCAGGAAACTAAGCGTGTGTCGCGCGTCACTACTTCACAGGAGAGGCATCTGAATGTAAACTTTTTGTTGTTGTTGCCAGAAATGCCTTCTGGAACATGTAAACTTTCATGTGCCTTTAATAACAAACTTGTATGCCATCTGTAAATACAAATAAAATGGTTAAATTATGAGCCTAGTTGGTTTAGCCCTGGAAAAAGACAGCAACCTTCCCGCTAGCCATGATTGGCTGAGGTAATGAGTGGGCTGGACATGCCGAGAGATGAGTTCGGATTGGTCTGCCATGTAGCACGCTTCTGTCTATAACATGAGCTGGTCAGTATGTGTAGATAATCCTTTCTAATGTGGCTGTTTTGAAAGATATCACGTAGTAAAACTGCATTAGTGTTGCTCTCCAATTTCTGGAGGACCGAGTTTTGAAATCAGTGGAATTAGAGTATGATAGCTAAGGAGATGGAGAGAATTCTGCCGTTTGATTGCAAATATGCAGACGGAGTCGAAAAGAGAACACACAGAAGGCTGTTGTATAAAACACCTGTCTCCGGATTGCATCTTCAAACCAAGGGCAACCATGGCATCCGTGACAGAGAGGGTGAAGCGTCCATCCAGACTATCTAGCTAGCTACATTTTCAGATATTACACGTTTCTAATTTTGTCAGAAAGTCGTTTTCATTTCAAGTTAAAGTGTACTGTTAGCTAGCTAGCTAACGTTAGCTGGCTGGCTTGCTAGCTAACGTTGCATGTATGATCTGTGTAGTAATAGCTAGCTAGCTACATATCTTAACAAAAGACTCCACTATGGAAGTAACCATTTCAATAGAATGTTCATGATGTCACTGCGACAACTGTCGATAGACGTAGCCGTTAAATTCACTCTGGCTATCTACGCCGATTTCAGAGCACTCTCGTCTGAGTGTGCCAGAGCGCAGAATAACTGACAAATTTATAAACACTCAACACCAGTTGAATATGTCAGTAAACGTTGGCAAAAAAGCGTAATTAAAATTGTTGCCAGCAGCACAGTTGCAGTCACCAACGCTCCTCTGTAGCTCAATTTGTAGAGCATGGCGCTTGTAACGCCAGGGTAGTGGGTTCGATCCCCGGGACCACCCATACGTAAAAATGTATGCACACATGACTGTAAGTTGCTTTGGATAAAAGCGTCTGCTAAATGGCATATTATATTATTATAAAAACTGCCTAACCAGCTCTGCTAGGGCGAGTAAAATGGTCAGAGTGAGCTGTTCTCTCATTTGTGTCTGGAAGTAGCCAGCAAGCTAGCCAACGTTAGCCAGTTAGCTTGGGTGCTTGACTGATGTTGTTAGATCAGAACGCTCAGATCAACCCTACTCCTCGGCCAGAGCATCCAGTGTGCGCTCTGAACACTCCGAGAGCGAAACGCTCTGAATTTACGAACAGACAATCTGACAACGCTCTGAGTTTACGAACAGACAATCTGACAACGCTCTGAGTTTACGAACAGACAATCTGACAACGCTCTGAGTTTACGAACAGCCAATCTGACAACGCTCTGAGTTTACGAACAGCCAATCTGACAACGCTCTGAGTTTACGAACAGCCAATCTGACAACGCTCTGAGTTTACGAACAGCCAATCTGACAACGCTCTGAGTTTACGAACAGCCAATCTGACAACGCTCTGAGTTTACGAACAGCCAATCTGACAACGCTCTGAGTTTACGAACAGCCAATCTGACAACGCTCTGAGTTTACGAACAGCCAATCTGACAACGCTCTGAGTTTACGAACAGCCAATCTGACAACGCTCTGAGTTTACGAACAGCCAATCTGACAACGCTCTGAGTTTACGAACAGCCAATCGGACAACGCTCTGAGTTTACGAACAGACAATCTGACAACGCTCTGAGTTTACGAACAGACAATCTGACAACGCTCTGAGTTTACGAACAGACAATCTGACAACGCTCTGAGTTTACGAACAGACAATCTGACAACGCTCTGAGTTTACGAACAGACAATCTGACAACGCTCTGAGTTTACGAACAGACAATCTGACAACGCTCTGAGTTTACGAACAGACAATCTGACAACGCTCTGAGTTTACGAACAGACAATCTGACAACGCTCTGAGTTTACGAACAGCCAATCTGACAACGCTCTGAGTTTACG